CACATTTTGGCTTTTTTTCTTTTTGTTGATTTTATATCCAGTGTATTGGGTTATAACTGCAGCCATGCTGTACATTAGTTAATTTGGTTCATTGGATACAGTGCCGTGTGTGCTTCTTTTTTAAACAAAAAGTTATCTTGAAATTTGAAAGGAGTTAAGAGACAAGGGCAAACCAGATTCAAAATATTTGAGGGAAATTTTCATGATAGAAAAAAATAAATTTATTTGCCCAAATATCTGGTAAAATATTCTACAGTATAATATAATGAAATGAAATATCTTTAAAAATATAAAGTTCTTCTAAGAATTAAAGTATAATGTTCAATTTTGAATATTAATCATTTGGACAGTATATCTCAAAGATATACTGGCCAAATAGTTAATGTAGACTTTGTTCACTTATAAAGAGAAGGCCCAGGGCAAGTAGTATATTATACTACTCTTCATCTCCAAATCATCACTTTATTCTTTTGAAAAATCAATATTTGCAAAGACAGCTGACTTGCCTATACAAAAAATGGGACTAATGGTTGATTTAAATAGAGTTTCTAGTTGTGGCTCAAATGAGTGTATTTGAGCTTTTTTCCATTCCTCTGGCAGTTCCCCCAGGCTCCAGGATCTTTGAAAGATTGTATTCAATGGTTCTGAGAGCACATCTTCCAGTTCCTGCACTACCTGAACAGAAGATGTGAATTCACTTAGAGCAGCTAAGTATTGTCTAAAAACTCCTTACCTATTTTCACCTGCATTTCACTTTCATCTCCCACAGTGCTGCTTTTGTCAGGTTGGAGTATTTTTACCTTTTAAGCAAAGGTAGATATAAAAAGAAATTGGAGTTCTGCCTTCTCCCTACTACCCATAACCCTCCTGCCATCTTCTTCCACTAGTGGACCAACAATTTTCTTGACTACCTTCTTCATCCTATCAAAATAAACTCCCCCCCCCTCCTATTTTTAGCTTTTTATTGCAAACCTTAGCTGATTCTGATTCTTATCTCTGCTAGCTCCATCATTGCATATTTGGACTATTTATTAGTATTCTGCTACAGTTAGAAGCTCCTCCTTTCATTTTTTACTATTGTTCTTTTATCCCTCACCTTATGAGAAAGATCTTTTGCAACTATTCTAGTTTTGCAAGATGAGTCTTGTTTTTCTTTCTCAATAATATTGTTTTTGTTTGGCCTTTAATATCTTGTTTTCCAGAGCTTCCCAAGCATCCAGGGAATTGTTTTTCTCTAGAATTTCCATCCATTGAATCCTTTCTATCCTGTTCGTTGAAATCAGCTCTCTTAAAATCTACAACACTAGATGATTTGTTTTTAAAGTGCCCATGGATTAATCTCTTCAAGACACGTTAAATCCAAAGACATGATATGAGGTTGACTGACTATAATTTCCTGGATGATTTTTCTCTTCTTCTTTGCAGGTAGTGCAACTGAACAATGAATGACTGAATGAATGAACAATGTACACCTTAGCTTCTAGATGTGCTAAAGCATAGACACACTAGGTGGAGCAGCCCATATCCTCGATCTAGGGAAAAACATGCAGGCCAATATCCAACACTTCTCTAGATTAGGGAGAGGAAAACAGGATAGATTTTAGAAGACCCAATCACAGATTTCCCATATTTAGTCATTAGTAATTTACTAATTTATTTTATTATATTATTTAGTAATTAGTAATTTAGTTATTAGGTTCTGAAATGAACAGTTACACCGAATTCTTTTTTACTCAGTCATTCATGTTTTCAGCAAGTACATCTGTGGCAAAGAAGCTGTAGCTTCTTTTGGCTTCCATACTGAAAGTATTAATGTCTTTAGGGAAAAAAAATAGCATCATTGAAACAACATTGTCGGAAAGAAGAAATTAGGTGCAATGTTCATGTCTATTTAAAAAGCACTAAGAGACTAATAAGTTATATTTATATTGAAGACAGTAACTTAAATCCAGTTTCTGATATAGAGATATTAACCTACAGGTAGCTCTCTGATTTCTCTGATTGAAAGTTATGAGCTCCTGAACAAGAGGAACTTAGAACTGGTCTGCAAGATTGTGGACATCCCAACAGTTACATGGTTGTGGTTCAGGCCCTTGCCAACTGACTTGCAATTATGGTTGCACATTCCACAGTCATGCGATTGCAAAGTCAGTGGGGTAGCAGAAAGTAGCAAATTGCTCCTTTCCCACCACTTTTTCAATCACCCACCCACTTGTATACCTGCCCACACTCCATAGCAGATTTTATTCAGATTCTTTTAAATAAGAAACTGGTGTGTTGAAGGTAAGATCCCAGCTTCCACCTTTCCTTTGAGATAGTACAGATAGATTGAATTTGGATTAGGTATCTAGGTACAAGAATAAGGACATGGAGAACCTGGAATTGGGTTAAAGAAGAACTATGTGGAACAGTTAAAAGAGCAAGACGTGTAGTTTGTAAATATGTTTATTAGCCTAATATCTAAAAAGATATATGAGCATGAGAAAAATATTTTCCATTAAAGCCAAGAACAGAAGGACCAGCCAACTGAAATTAATTCTGATTCAATCTAAAACTTAGGAGGAGGCTTCTAATGGAAAAAATGGTTAAGTAGTGAAACTGAATTGCCTTGAATAACAGTGCACACTTTCTAGCTGGAGGTTTTCAAATGGAATTAGTACTCCTACTATTAACAGGCAAATGGACAAGGTTATCTATAAGGTCCCTTATAACTTGTAACATTCTTGTGATTCACTCTGTTGTGATGGTAGCACATGTAGGGGTTTATCTTAATATTCATTACAAAATTAAATTGTTATTACTTTTCAATGACTTAATTCTTCGTTTTGCTGTATGCTTTCTTTCATAAACCTTTCTTCACCCAAAAGCTATTGCAGGTCCGTTGTGTGTCCTTGTTGCTTAGGATTGAGACATAGTTCTGTTTAGTGGTTGTGTGTATGAAAGTATAGCACTATAGCTTCTGAATTTTGTTTAATTTTAAATTAAAGAATGCTTTGTGAGCTAGGAACCATCTGACAGAAAATTTGCATGATATGTGAAAGTGGGATTCATTAATTTGTCTTCAATCTCTGCCAAGGATAAAAGTACTAGTGCAAGTACTGTATGTTGGATATTCCATTTTATTCTCTCATTTCTCACACACAGTTTCACTTTTAGAAGAACCTTCTCATTGAATTTTTGCGCAATTTGCTTATATTGACTTGGGAAATGACATGTGACACAAAAACAGGGCATAGGCTTAAGTGAGAAAAGTGCAGTTTAAAAAGTTAAGCTCTTTCAGAGTTAAAAGTGAAGTAGGCATCTAATTTTAGAGGTTTTAATTTTAATTTGGAAGGAAAAGGTCCATTAGTTATCAAAAATGTAGAAAACACTGTTATTGCAGAGAAAAATGTCTTTATCTTGCCATTTGCATGTTAGTTTGAAAAGTTTATAGCAATGAGACATTGGAAGTCGTACACATTACTTGGCATGTGAAAAATTAGTTTTGCATGGAAAGGAAGGGAATAGAAATAGAATAACAGAGTTGGAAGGGACCTTGGAAGCCATCTGAAGCAACTCCCTGCTCAAACAGGATACCCTATTCCATTTCAAACAAATGGCTGTTCAGTCTCTTCTTGAAAGCCTCTGATTGATTGTCCTCACCTTTAGGAAATTTATCTTTAGATTGCTTCTCTTCTTGATTAGTTTCCATCCATTGCTTCTTGCCTTGCTTTCAGCTGCTTTGGAAAATAATCTGATCCCCTCACCTTTGAGGTATCCCCTCAAATGTTGGAATATTGCTATCATATCTCCCCTAGTCCTTCTTTTCACTAGACTAGGCATACCCAATTCCTGCATATGTTTTAGTCTCCAGATCCCTAATCATCTTTATTGTCTTCCCTGCACACTTTCCAAAGTTTCAACATCTTATTTGATGTGGTGACCAAAACTGGATGCAGAATTATAAGGGTGGTCATACTAAGTCTTTGTAAAGTGGCACTAATACTTCATGTTATCTTGATTCTATCCCTCTATTAATGCAGCCTAGGATTGCATTGGCTTTTTTAGCTGCTGATGTACATTGTTGGGTCATATTTAAATGATTATCTACTTAAACTCCAAGATCTCTCTCCCACTTACTGATATTAACCTAAGTTTCCTCTAGTCTATACCTGTACAGTTTTTTCTTGCCTAAGTGTAAAACTTCATTTTTATCTACATTGAATTTTATCTACAATTAAATTTTGATTTGGCTGTTTTAGAAGTTGATGACTGAGTAACAAAATCAGCAGTCTACTTTATATGTATTCATGTATGCACTCCATTTTCAAATAATTCAATACATTAGTAGACATCTGGAAGAGGCACATTTTCCAAGTAATTTTGGTCACAACATATAAAATAACAAGATTGGTAACTGGTCTTAATAAATAGTTAGTGAATCTTCCCTGCCTAAAATGCAAAACAGATGTATCTTTGTTCTTTTCAATTCACTTTTATGAATAAACTATATGTGATGTCATATCCAAGTTATTGGATATCTTAAGTCTGGCAGACAAACCTTTTAATGTTTTTTAAAAGTTTCCATTCTAGAACAAAGTGATTCCAGTGTACTGTACTTAGAACAAATAGTAGCAGGTTCAGACAGACACTCAGACTGTTTTTAGTCCAAACATTTATAAGTTGCATTCTTTAAGGGCTTTCTTCTCTGAGCAGGAAGCTTTTTCCACTCACTCTCTTTAGTAAAAGAGATAGAAATTTGGAAAGCATTTTTCTGATTTTTTTTAAATTGTTTTGGGAGGCAATATAAACAAATCTGAGCAACATTCTACATTGTTTGTTTGTTTGTTTGTACATCTTCCTCCCCATCCAACACTGGAAGATTAATCCAGCAGCTTGATTTGCTGTCTGTTTCATGTGTCAAGAAGTCATATATTTTCTTATGGCTGCTTCATTTATAAACAAGTATAAGCTGAACTTTTTTTCTTCTTTACGGAATCCCTTTGGAATTTAACTTTCAGATATAAACACTTGGAGAAATTGGCAGCTGAAGGATGTGAAAAGGAGCTGAGAAATCGAAATTTATGTTGGGACAGGAGTGACTTATCCTTGAATTTGGGTGGTTCTTCAATCCCAACTGTTACCATTCCCAAGTGTGCCAGCCCAGGTTCAACAGATTCACATAAGAAACCATCAACTTGTGTGACTTCTTGCATAACATCACAAATTCTAGAAGGTAAGTCCTTTAACTATGGCAAATAAATTTTTACTGACTATATGGTGCTCCAGTTTATGAAAGTGTGATTATTGTTGACACTTATGCTTAGAAATTAGAAATCTAATATTTTATAAATTAGATTGAATTTAAAATCATGGTGAATAAGGGCTCTAAATGGATACTGTCATATTAGAGGCAGTATTCCGTTGAATAGCAGTTGCTTGGAAACCAAAAAAGAATATAATATTATGTTAATATTGTCCTTTGAGGAATTAAATGCTAGACTAAATAGGCCTATTTGATTCTGCTTTTGGTACATACTCTTCATATTGTTTAACAATCTCATGCAGTCTGGCTGAGATAAAACAGCTTAATGGGGTTGGAATAGAAGATCTCCAAGATCCCTTCTAGTCATATTTTTCTGTTCTGTTCCATTGGCTTCTGATCTCTTTAGTACTTCACCCAGTTTGAAAAATATCTCATTCAAATCCAATGTGGAATTTCAAAAGAGCTTGTCATTCAACTTATATAGCTCATAAAACGATGGATTATTGCTTTAAAATCCTTCAGGTTTTCTAGCTTAATGGCTATAATAATTTGATTTGATTTGATTAATCCTCCAGGTCTACTGCTGATTCAGTAGATTGTGCTACTTCAGAAATTAAAAATAATTAATTTTGCCCAGGTTGTATTCAGAAAAGCAGTATCTTGATCCAGAGAATGAATCGATAATCCTTGTTTATTGAGGAAGACTTATGGCACTATATTGACTGGAGCCATGCACATTGACCAAAATCATTTTGAAACTCTAGAAAATTATAAACTGCTTTTGAAAGTAAAAACTTATTTTAGAACAAAGTGGGTGCATAAAAATAGGAGATCTGGGTGTATATGTTCAAATTTTCATTTACCTAATTTTTAATTTGTATTACATTTAAATTACTGGTACTAAATTATTATTAAGTACCATAGCTGTTAAACAAAAAAAAATGTTAGAATATATGTGTAAACAAAATAGTTTGGTTTTTGTTTCAAGGATGTCTAAAAGAAATGTAGCTTCATGGACAGAGAAAAGTATACAAATGAACTATTTTTGGTAAATATAACTAATTAAATGGAGGGAGGGAAGGAAAGAAGGACCCATGTTGCATCTTTTCCATGAGCTTAGTTGGCATCATTTGCATTGGTTTAAATGTTTCCTCTTTGGGGATGTTCAATTTTAGTTGAATTTCATTTAATTACTGGAGCTCAATTAAAATTTGTTCATACACTGTACAATATATACCACATATGTCATATTTTCCTTATAACATGCTGTTATAATTGATAAAAACTTTTAAGTATGGTACATGATCAAAATAATTTTCACTTGTATGTACTGTGGCTTGATGGTATATGACATGATGATGCATATGACTTGAGTTTCTTGTCTAATAATTACTGCTGCAGGCATGCTATTATTAACCCAACTATCAGTTGAGGGAAGATTGGATGTAAACTTTCTTCATATGCCAGTGTCAAACTTTAATTTAGTTTGCAAAGACTGGATCTGTATATTCACTTCTGGTAAGAAATATTTGGAATGGCAGTCATTCAAATTCATTTAATGGCATTACAATCCATTTTCCCTAAAATCAGAAGTCTTCAGTGGAAAATAGATATCTCTTTTATAACTGGTTTAACATATGTCTCTGGCAATTATCTCAAACATTACCTTATAAAATGTTTGTTAATTATTGTAGTAGATTGTAACAGAGACAGAGTCTTAATAGCTGAATCTCTATTAACCTACAGTAAATGTCAGGATGCATCACAATAATTAGCAAGGCTGCAGCATTATGGAACTTGCAAATAGATTGTGCATATTTTGAATATTACTGGAAGCAGAATGAGATAGACTACAAAATATTTTTTGCACTAAGAGAAAGATGAATGTCTCAAATTTAAATGTAACTATCAGCCCCAAAATACAGATGAACAGACAGCGGTTAACAAACCCAGAAAACACTTTTTGAATATGATTTTCTTAACAGCAGTATCATACAACCCAATTTTAATATCTTGCTAATGAAGAACCATACAGAATCTGCTTTAATACTTATTTTAAAATCTTCATACTTCAACTACTTAGCTGTTACAAAGAATTATCACAAATTACAAGCAACTAAAAAGAATATTTTGGTTTTTAGCGATTTGCAATTCATTTTATAATTTACTTTTCCTGATATAATTTGAAGACATTTAAACATAACTGTCTTCGGTAAAAGAAAAATATGACAGAAGGATAAGTATAAAAAAATGAAAAGAGGGACACACAACTAAAATAGAATGTCACAAATAGCCCAAATCTGCAAAGATAAAGTCAGAAGAGCTAAACCTCAAATAAACTTTGCAAGAAATATAAAAAATAATTTTTAAAAAGACTCTTTCAGCATTTAAAAAATAAGAAAAACATCAAGCAAATGATCAGTGCACTAATGGGAGAAGATGACAAGGGACTGATAGTAGGGAGAAATCAAAATTGTATAGTTCATTCTTTCCAGCTGTCTTTACACATAAAAAATAGTCCCAATTTATTAAAAGCGGTACAGTAAAAGACAGAATAAGAATATAAGTCAAAATAGACAAGAAAACTATTTTTAAAAAATCTATTTACTCCAGTTCAAGTTCAAATCATCAGGACCAGATGGATTATATTATCTCAGCATTCTGAAGTAGCTGATAGAGGTGGTCTCAGAACCACTGAACCATTTCTTTCAAAGATCCTGAAGCACTGGAGAAATACCAGAGGCCTGGAAAAGAGTTAATGTGGTTCCAATCTTGAAAAAAAGAAAAAAAACCAGATCTAAGAAACTACAGATATACAGCCTGGCATCAATATGTGGGAACATCCTGAAAAAGATAAGATAATAGATCTGTGATTACCTGTAAACAAGCAAAACTATTACTAGAAACCAATATGAGGTTTGTCAAAATACAAACCTTACTACATTATTTGACAAAGTAATTACTGTGGACATAGTATACGTTGACTTCAAGTTATTTGGCAAAATAGACTACAACCTATTTCTTGGTAAGATAGAAAAATGGGGAACAGAGAGCATCACTACCTGATAAGTTCATAGCTGGCTGACCAAAGCACTCACATGTGATCGTCAATGGAATTCCATTTAAATGGAGGGAACTATGCAGTAGACTACCTCAAGGTTCTGTCCTAGCCCCAATACTCTTCAACATCTTCAGTGTTGTGCTCCAGAAGGAATTGTTTTATAACTCCTGCAACTAGGAACAGTTTTCACCACTCTTGAATCATGAAGTACAAGTCAGTATGATCTGTTCCATCCAACATTCCTATCATTTCAATTGACCTTAAAAACTTCAATTCTGAAAGGTAAAGTTATCATGAATGTAATTTTAAAATGTTACATTTTTATCTGCTTAACTCTTTGGCAGATATTATAATAGTGGATTCATCATTACTATTGGGATTGATAACAGCTAGTTTGATGTAATAATTAAGGTATGTTAACAGGTTATTGGAGATGAACGGCTATATAAATATGATGAAATGAATAACTTTTTACACTGGAATTCATAATTGTTTAAAATCTGTTCAGCATTTCTTCTAAGTGTACTGTTTGTTCTTACATGAATCTGAAGGATAGTTAAATCTGGATAGATTACACATCACATCTCTAATTAAATAGAGGTAGATAATCACAATAAAAGGTTGTTTCCATCACACTCAGCGGTGAATCCCTTATGCATCTCTGAGATTTTTTTAATTAAATTTCTGCTACTGATCTTCATGCAGTCAGGATTACTGTACATGGAAACTCCTAATGTCCTTTATGTAATTCCAGAGAAATAATATTGTTCCTAATGGCTTCAGCTATTTAATATATCAAGTATTATTGTATTTTCTGCTAAAATTGCACATTTTTAGACAAAGTACAAATTTAAGTCATAAAACAGCAAAACTGTAAATATCAGGCTCCAAAAACCAAGAAAAGTGCGTTCTCAAAGCAATTTCCTTTATTGTGCCTCAGTTGTATACAGAAATCTTGCCACATTAAAGCAGACTTCTTGGACCACAAAAGATATACCCATGTTGTTATCATGTCTTTCAGTTTTTTTGTTCCTTATTTTTTCCTTTATTTTGGAAATTCTCCCCCTGCTTTGTCATATAGCAATCTCTGGGGATTCCTAGCTACCTGTCCTGTACCTGACATTTTCTCCAACCTAGGGTGATTCCTGACATTTTCTCCTGGTCCTTACTATTAGTACAGTAGCATCCAACAAATTTATTTTTCATGTGATTTAATTTACTTATTTGTGGTTACATCAGTTGGCTATTCTCATTTAATTTCTAGTCTTGTTTAGGAGTTTTGATTTCATCCCTTTGGTTTTCACTTGAGTCCCAGGATTTAAAGACCAGTTTTCAAATAGCAAAATCTATGGTGATAGTAGGAAATGTCCCTAGTGGTTGGATCTTTATTATAATTTGTCTCAATATAATTAAAAAAAAGAAAAAGGGCAGGCAATTCCATGAACTTTTACTTAATTTCTCAGAAGTTATTTTTCCTTTCTTGTAGCAAAAACAGAAAGACAGATAATGCCCATATCAGCGTTATTAAGTGCAAATCAAATCTAAATACTGTATATCCTTCCAATTTTGTATAACAATTTTGGCTGTTTCCCATACTTAAAAGATATCCTGACTGATAAATTCCAAATATGGGGTTTGCAGCCCAGCAGAAGATATATTTCCATTATCCTCCATTTCTGTCCCATATGTGGTTATAAGATTGTTCAAATATTATGGCTTAATGTTCCAATTTTTCAACTGAATTAAATTGAGCTGAACTAAACTGAACTGGGTGATTGCAACCATGCCTTAGTAAACATTTTCTGAATTATCCGATATATTCAGAATAGAATTATGTTTATTACCTTATGTTTTTAACGTTAAAACTGCATTTTCATTTTCATTTATTCAACCTTTGATAAATATATTA